CCCCAAAACCCCAAAACCCCATTGGTGTAAATATCAAGCAATCATGTATAAATGTTCCTTAATTAATTTATGATCAAATATATATTAAAATTTAATCGGAATAAAACCTATAATTTGATAATAAAGCTTTTAATCATGATATCAGATTTTACAAACTCTTAGGAATTTAATCCAAATGATAGTCAACCCTCGCTCAATAACCTATAAAGACAATAAACTGGAAAGCAGCATATAGATAAGTATTTGGAGGGATGCATCGAAAGCATGACTTACCCGATATTTGGATTTCCTCTGATGAATTTCAGGAATATCAAGAAAAATTAGATACCATGAGAATTCTAGGTATAATAAGATACTCAAAATCAGTATTTATTGAGTGAGAGTGATATGGATGAACCCAAGGTCCCATGATATGAAAAAGCATGGAGATGCATAACGAGGTCAGTGATTTAGAGGGAAAAGTAAAATTTTGACAAAATGATACAGTCTTACAAGGATAATGAGACAGCACTTGAGATGAAACTAAAGGAATTTACTTATGGAGGTAAGACTATGCTTGATCTATATCGACCAACTGAAGACTTGAACTAAACAGCTATTAGGCAGAACTATGAGATGTTCAGAGATATGAATCGAAGTAATCAGAGGTTCAAAGTGAACGAGGATTAGAAAAACATGTCTTTTAAATCTAAAAGTGAAAATAAAAGAGTTAAATTCTAAGACTACAAAAAGGCTGGATCCTCCTCCTACAATGGCAATTTTCTAGACTTACACGGATCTATGCTCGATGCATCTGCTAATTTTGACTTAATGAATAGAACAATGAATTCTTCAATGTAAAAGAAGAATTCTAGTCCATTGAGATAAATGAGTAACAATAATATCTCCACATCATAAAAGTCTAATCAGCCAGTCGAAACCTTTACTTATAATGGTAAGAATAATTTATGAATTAACAAGTATCTAGTTTTGACTGATTAAGGCCTTGTTGAGAGACCAGACTTGTTTGAAAAATGGTTATAAACTGCTGAAGGACAAGACTTTATAGTCAAAAATAAACTTTTCCATCTGAAAAAAGAAAAGAAAAAGCAATATGTGGTTGTTAAAAAAAATCAAGTAAATTAGCCAATAGTTGTTAAAGACAAATAAAATTAAAGGAAAAAGCTTAATCAGACTCACACAATGGGAATAAACTTTAGCAATGGAAAAGCGGGAGATGAACAGCAATTACTTGAAAATTTCAATATGTTGTTAAATTCTAAGTCGAACATTAAGCATGCCAAAGAATTCCTTAACTAAAGATTAATGATTGGTGATAAATACTCGAGAACTCTTCGCAAGCATCTCAATGTAGTGAGTGATTCCAATGCTCTACAAGCTACTCTGCTTCAGAATTAAAATAGAAAGCTTACAACTGACTAGATTGAGAACACTTTCATTCCATCTTACATGATACCAGAGCATTACAAGAGTTTACTCAGAAGAGATGAGCAGTAAAAGAGGGAATCTTAAATTATGGATCAATCAAAAATTTCTTTGAAAGATAACTTTTTATCAAGGTAGAGTACAGCAAATAATAGAGCAAAGACCACTATGAAGTAGCCTACCTCCTCAATGATTAAGATTGATACTTTATTAAATGACTAGAGCACTGGCAGAGCTCCATTTAACTTAAGCCATTAGAATTCACTAGAAAAAATAAATAATGAGGATATTCAAGAGACTATAAGTATGGTTTAAAAGGAGAGGAAGAGAACAAGTAAGAAGTTTGAATTTTTTAGAAAGAGCTCCTAAATCAGAGATTAAAATAATCCAAGTACCATGAGCTCAAAAGAGGAAAAAGACTTTAATTTAGCAACCAAAGAGAATCAATAAAAATACGACGATGAAAAAAGGCTTGCTACTTTATCAGTTAACAAATTTAAATAATTGAATGCTAGAGATGAGCATGATATTAAGTATTAACATGAAGCAAGTAATTAGAAGAAGAATATTAATTATGTCGATAAAGAAGAATACGAGCCTTGCATTCCAAAATTGAATTTAACATTCCAGGAGAAATCTTCAGTAAACTTTGATTCGCTTAATCGGTCGGTGGAATTGAAGATTAATACCTTAACAAGGTAGTTAACTCCTATTCATGAAGAAGAGGGAGCGGAAATCAGAAGGCAGATTGAAATTAAAAAATAAAATGGTGATGATGAATTGAATGAAGAGGAGCCTGCTTTACCTGAAACAACATACGAATATCAAAAATTCAAAACTGAAGCTTAGGCGTTTATGCAGGGAGCAAAGAGTGCATAGAAACTTAACAGAATTTCTGAAAAAGTTAAAAGCTCAAAAATTTATAGGAGATTTCTGGATTTTAAAAGAAGGACTGTTATAGAGACACAACCGAACTTACAGAGATTTAAATAGTTATGAATTGATCAATTAAGCTATATTTAATTGCAATGTGAGAGATTATTGTGATATTTATTAAGGTATTATACGATATCATATCTAGTAAGCAGTTATTGAAATTATTATTAACTTAATTTCCTTAATATTAAAATTCTTAATACTACACACTTATCTATTTTGATATTTCTAGAATTTTAGCATATGCCTCAGTATCTCCTTGATCTTGCTAGAGATACTGAAATTTATCTGGATGATATCTAGACATTGCTATTCTCTTTGCCTTTCTGAACAATCTGTCGTCAATATTATTTTCATATTTTTTACTCAAAAGCAAAATCAAATGTAGAATAAGCCATTTAATCACGGGAGGATAAGGTATTTCAATAGCTTCGAGACTCTTTATATTATCAGAAGCATTATTCTTCGCCCTTATGTAAAGCCTCCAATCTTTTTCATAGGTTACCCACTATTTTGAGCTAGAATACTTTAAGAATCCTTCTAAATCATTAATCAACTTATTCTTTAAGTGATCATTTGATATTTCTATATTTGGTCTATCTTCATTCAAATCAGAGTCAGGGTTTAAGTTCTAATTTTGCTAATCGACCATAAAAGAGTCAAGCTTTTTGTCAATAGTAGAATCATTAAGTTATCTTGTTATATTTGATTTATTGTAATAGTACTGATACCCCTTGACTGATTTATTTTAGGATTTGATCCTTGGATTCGTAATGTTGTTCGGTTACAGAATACTAGTTGAACTGAATGAACTGCTCAACTTATCCTAGCTCTTGGAATGATAATCCTGATACTCTTTACTAGTTGTCTTTTTTGCATTTATCATCTTACTTTATCTTGCATCTATATATGTGAAGTTAACATCTGGATTGTATATTTTGGATTTGAGATTTAATAGTTTTTCTCCACTATCTTATCCCTAACTTGCTTTATTTTGGTTGAGATTTTTATACCTGTCGTCCTTTTTATTTGGCTTTTTATGCTTCATATTTTTAATGGTGTTTTCATCTATTATAAAAGAGAGTCCATTAATTGTACTTCTATCTAGATTACTTTCATCCAATTTGCTCTTTCCTTTGGAATTTAGCTCTTTTTCCAATAGCTTGATTTAATCCTCATTAAATTTAATACGATTTAACTAGGCTTGCTAGATTAGCGATTACTGATGCTCTTATTGCTATCTGGAATAAGTCTGCTTTATATCAGGTAGTATTATTGAAGACTTAGAATGCTTTTGATTGGAGTTTCAATTCTAGATTCTACTTGAGTTTTGGGCGAAATTAACTAACTTCTGATAAACACTATCTTTTGATCGCATCGTTATTTTTATATTTTATTTGATTTAACAAAAAATTACACTATTACTCTTAAGATTGAATTTATACTTTAAGGGGTTTTGGGGTTTTGGGGTTTTGGGGTTTTGGGG